GGGGGGGGGGGGGGGGAGCTAAAAAGGTATTGTGCCCCGGGCGCGAGTTAAGCTCGCTACGGCACTGCTCAGGAGACAAAAGATGATCAGCAATTATAGAGGCCAGTACAAAAAAATTAGCCCATTATGGAACAAAGAGAAAATAGTTGCAAAATATACCACTTTCTAATTTGTCCTTTTCCATCAATAATATTCTATATCGAAATCTAGCACATTATGGAACAAATAGAAAGTAGTTGCAAACTATACCATTTTCTAATTTGTCTTTTTCTATCAATAATATTCTATGTCAAAATCTAGCACATTATGGAATAATTAGCACATTATGGAACAAATAGAAAGTAGTTGCAAAATATACCACTTTCTAATTTGTCTTTTTCCATCAATAATATTCTATATGAAAATCTAGCTAAAATTAAGCATAAACGCAATATTTGCTATGTAAGAAACAAGATTTTACATTGAAGTTCATTGTTAAAATAGACTTTAAGTCAGAAAAAACTGCCAATTATAAACCACTTTGAAAATGGTGCTAAACAGGGTTCGTCAAATCGAAGTGTCTAATAATTTCTCTTTTTCAAAAACATCAAATTTCAAAATTAATAAAAGGAAGGGAGGAAATAAATTTTGTGTCAAAAAATGATCAGTTTAAAGCAGGCTGCAGATTACTTAAAAATAGAAATAAGAATATTACTTTTCAAAATAAAATGGAAAAAATGCCCTCACATGAGTGACACAAATCAGTTAATAATCAGTTAATCAGTTGTGTGCAAAATAAAAGGTCATTCAATTGCGATGAATCGTTCTATGGCTTTAATGATTGATGACTTTTCAAGCTTGAGCTTTCAAAACAATTCCTAACAAGAGTAATAAATCTTTGACATTGTATTAATAGTGGCTCATCACAACTTCTAATAAATGATAGAAACATGTTTTTTAATTTCAATGAAAAAAAAAGATTCTTTGAAAATTGCAGATGAAAAAAAATTGTTTTCGGCGATATTTGTTTCAAAACAAATACAGACAATGGCAATGAAAGACATTTGCAAATCATCTTTATCCAAAGAAAACCATTAACCTAAATATCCGGCAGAATCAATTATTTTTAAAAAAATAATTTGGCGAAAATGACGAAATATTTAAATGGGATGATTAACATTTAAATGCTGTTAACTTACGAGGAACTTGACTTGCGCGCGCGTAACGTAAAATTTCATTCATATTTTTTTCGCTAGTAACCGATGTTAAATCCGTTTTTTTTTTAATTATAAAATACGATGTTTCTTTTTTAGTCGTCTAAAAATTTTTTCGTAATTTAGTAAAATAATTTGAATAAAACATTTTATTGAATAAAAAACATATTATTCAGCGAATGTCGAGTTTCATAAAAGCATGTTTCTGATAGAATGTGATTATATATCAGATTGTGATTATATTTAATGTGATTACATTTAATTTTTTTCAGTAATTGATACAATTTCAACAATATATATACGTATGCCTAATATCCGGCACATTAACCTAAATATCCGGCAGAATCAATTATTTTTAAAAACATTATTTGACGAAAATGAAGAAATATTTAAATGGGACGATTAATATTTAAATGTTAACTTACGAGGAACTTGACTTACACGCGCAACGTAAAATTTCATTCATATTTTTTTCGCTAGTAACCGATTTCAAATCCGTTTTTTTTTAATTATAAAATACGGACACTTAAAAAAAACTTTTTTAGTCGTCTAAAACTTTTTTCGTAATTTAGTAAAGGAATTTGCATAAAACATTTTATTGAATAAGAATATATTATTTAACAAATGTCGAGTTTTATAAAAGCATGTTTCTGATAGAATGTGATTATATATCAGATTGTGATTATATTTAATGTGATTACATTTAATTTTTTAGTTTTTTTTTTCAGTAATTGATACAATTTCAACAATATACTTATGTATGCATAGATTTGGATTAATTTATTTATCAATTTCTTCAATTACATATTTTATAACAGAAGAGGTCAATGTCAAAAGTATGTTACAAATCTGCACTTTTGAGCCGCGATGGCTCAGGAATAGAGCGTTCGCCTTCCAATGAGGTGAACCGGGTTCGAATCTCTGGGATGGCTGGTCGATATGAATCTGCATCCGGCTTGCACCGACCACAGCGCTGACGTGAAATATCCTCAGTGGTAGATGGATCATGGGTTAGAGTCCCTTTGCCATCAGGCTAACAGTGGGAGGTTTTGTAGTCTTCCTCACTATGCAACGCAAATGCGGGTTAGTTCCACCAAAAAGTCCTCGACGAAGGCAAATTTCATCCAATACTTAATCCAGAAGTTCCCTTGTCTTCCGGATTGAGTTCAAAATTATAAGGCTACGGCGTTGTTCCTTAGTTGTCGTAAACCCAAAAATTGGGTCGGCTGTTCAACGACGATTATAAAAAAAAATCTGCCCTTTCAAGAAAAAAAAACCCCCGTTAATTGTGGAAAGATTGTTTTAATTGCTTCCAAATTGTTGGATTCTCTTCGTTAGTCAGTCTAGAAAATTACTTGGTTTTTAATAATCGGTGATTGATATTCCAAAATTAACAAAAAACTTATTTTGGTAAAAATGTTACATACCCCCTTTTAACATTGACCGCTTCCATTATTCAGCGCAATCAAAACTAAGAGAGAACATTATGAATTCAGAATCAAATCAAAAACAAATCAAAAGAGGAAATCTCTTTCCCCCCTCTCTCTCCGCTAGCTTCTTGAATTCACACCTGCAGTATGCCAGAAGCAAAACCCAGGCGCCAATAACTTTTCCGCCACGAGGAATAAAAACATGTCTGGAATAAAAATCAAAACAGTTCTTTTGAGTACAGCCATTTGTTCTTTATTTGATTCTTCCGGAATTGAGAGTGAATTTCGTGTTTTATTATACTCGGGATCTATGTCTAATTTCATAAAAAAAGAAAGCGCAGATCAACAGCAATTGAGAAAGAATAAAATAAATATAGTTGTGTCAGGGTTGAATGACTCAGCTATTTCTGTTCGGTCTCAAGTATGTGCTACTTAAATAAATAAAGCCCAAACTTTTAATACTGATTTAAATTTTTATTTGTGTTAAGAATTACTGATCACCCTCAAAAAGTTTTTTTTAGCTGTGTCCAGAATTACTGATCACATTCAAAAAGTTGTATTTAGTTGTGTCCAGAATTACTGATCACCCTCAAAAAGTTGTTTTTATTTGTGTCCAGAATTACTGATCACCCTCAAAAAGTTGTTTTTATTTATGTCCAGAATTACTGATCACCCTCAAAAAGTTGTTTTTAGTTGTGTCCAGAATTACTGAACACACTCAAAAAGTTGTTTTTAGTTGTGTCCAGAATTACTGATCACACTCAAAAATTTGTTTTTAGTTGTGTCCAGAATTACTGATCATCCTAAAAAAAAAATAAACAAGTGTATGGAGGGGTTAGAAAACATTAACTTAGCTGATGAGTATTTTTACATTCCGTTAGAAGTTGATTTATTAATCGATGCGGAATCATTTTTTAAGCCAATAAAACCCCGACAAATTTATTCTCCTAACTCAAATTTAATCTTAAAAAATTCTGTGTTTGGTTATATAGTTAGTGGAAGCATATCAAATAAGGAGGATAATAAAATCCATTACGGATTAATTTAAAAAAACCTCTTGATCTAGAACAGTTAGACGTTTTAGGGAGATGGAAAATATCGGAACTGAAATAGTTGAGAGTAAAGAAAAAATAATTTGTGAAAAACAATTTAAAAATATCTTTACTAGAAATTCTTTACTAGAAATACATAGTAAAAATGCCCTTAAAAAAGGATCTTAAGCATTTGGGGAAATCTAAAGAGTTTGGGTTGGAAAAATTAAATCTGTTGTAGAAACGTATAATTAAGGAGCCAAATCATTTATCTTCATAAAAAGATTTCCTTCATGAATATTTAGAGATGGGATACATATTAGAAATTTTGGATGATGAGGAAGAAGAAGCCATTTACTACATTCCCCATTTAAGAGTTTACCGCCCTGATAGGCAAGCAACTGTCCAAAGAGTTGTTTTTAATGCGAGTTATCCAACCTCAGCTAGTAATTCCTTAAATTCATTGCAATTTAATGGAGGTATAGTACAACGTGATTTATTTTCTATCGGTAAGAACTATCCCCTCACACAAAGTCTGAGGCCGTCTGCTGCTATGGAATTTTATTGACATTTGGCAACAATACAATTTACAGTAGAAAATTTTAAGAAATTTTGACTTACCTTATCACAAAAAACTTTGATTTGACAGTATGCTCGATGATAAGGAGTGGCATTCTCTCGGAAATCATCAAAAGTATCTATTTGCAAGTGGAGAGGAAGACCCTGCACAAAAAAACAAATATTTAATTTGAAATTCTTGTTGGATATGACAGTTTGATTAATATGTACTCTTAGTATGGTAAAACTACCAGAATACGGTTAAATTTACTGTGATTCTGACTCTATTGGAACCCTAAAAAGTATGGTAATTTTTACCGAAGCGTTTCGATTTGAATTTAAGTAAAATTAACTAGAAAATATTGTTTAATTACCATGCTGTTTGGTAGTAAATGTTGTAAATTTATCTTGATACATTGAGAGTATGACACAAAAAAAAAACCCCACCACTTATTCGGTTAGAATGCTTTTAAGTTTTGTTTTTCTACTAAAGGTGCGGTGATAAGAACTATAATTGTGAAAACTAGAAATTCCGGGAAAATGTTATCATACGAACGGAAAAATTATCAAATGAATGGTTTAAATTCTGTATATTTTGTTTTTATTACCAAAATTACGTTTCTTTTTTTAAATCTTTTTTTACCAAAAAAGATATTTCCATACAAGTACGGTAATTCTATCTGAATTTTTTTCTCCGTGTATTACAGTATCATGTTTATGACATTTAAGTCAATTATTTAAGCAAATGTCAGTTCCTTAATTTAATACTTAATTAATTTAATAACGCCTACATACATGCAAATAACGTGTTAGATGATAGCTAAGCTTTTTGTGGAACCTCTGCCAAGCAGCGGTCTCTCGTAAGGCAGTGGCGCTGTGATCATTTTTGTGTAGATTTACTTCATTTGCTCCTCGAAGTTGGTAGCGAAAGGACTTCTTTGAAGCATCGTAGCTTAGCCCAATACTCGTTTTTTTTTTTTTTTTTTTCATAATTTCTTTGCTTGCCTATCGTTAGTATGACCAATCGTCATCGTCTAGATCAGGGATGGGCGAACTTTTTTGGTTGAGGGCAAAAAATCGGAAAAAAAAAGTTTGGTGGGAAGAATGAAAACTTCTAAAACAAAGAAAAAGAAAAACGATATACAAGTTTTAATTTAAATATTTAATGAGATGAATGAAATTGCGATTTCATTTTTAAAAGCTCCTTACATTGAGGTTCGAAGTGAGATGTGCTTGTTTTGAGGAACGAGGCGAAATGCTTGCCGGTTAGTCTACTTCTAAAATGATTTTTTCTAAGTTTCACATATATTACATTTCTCCACATATACTACATTTCTCTTGTTCGCATATATAAGATGAAGCAAACATAGTACTGATTTTCTGGCATGAGATATTAAATTTCGGAAACTAGCTTTTGGTAATGATTTGTAAAACTCAAACTTTGGCATATTTAGGAACAACTGCTTCAGGTGATGTTAGATTTTAACTTAATTAATTCAAGCTGCAAATCTGACACCAATTGAAGCAGTCTATTTCCATCAATTTATGTTTTGTAAAATAAAAATAGAGAAAGTAAAAAGGTCATCGGTACTTTGTTAAAAAACGAAAGAACAAAAATAGCTTTAAACAAAGCAGACAAGAAAATGGATGTATAATGTATATTGTTTATATTCGCCATGGATCGGAAAGTTGAAATTCTATCCGCGGGCCGGATAAAACCTTCCGCAGGGCCACAGTTGGCCTGCGGGCCGTAGTTTGCCCATCCCTGGTCTAGACAGTGCCACAAGATGGCATGTTATTGGAAAACTCGAGGCGGGCCAATCATTGGCTACCTGTTGAAGGGACATCGGAGTTTACCGAAATGAGATTTCCACTCTGTGAAAACAGCTCATAGAGACAGGAATTATTGTATTAATAATTAACTGTATTGATTAATATAATGTTACTGTTTAAGGAAAATTTGTAAATCTGAAGCATTTTAAAACTGAAAACATCATTTTTAAAAATTAATCCATTTTTTATTTCGTAGCTAAAACTTTTTTCATTTATTTTCCGATGTAAAATGCAATTTTTTCATATAAACAAGAACATCATCTATTTTTGAATGACCCTGTTACTCTTTTTGTGCATCCATATATGAAATCAACTAACAGTAAGGAATTATTTATTCATTTGGAAAGTGTTCAATTGTAAGAAGATTGCATTATAAATCATTTAATTTTGAACATTTGAAATAATTGAATATTAAAGTAAATCTTATCTAAAAGTGCAAGCGTAGCGTAAAAAAGTGCAATTTCTATAACAGCATACCTAATGAGATTGCCGCTAGGATCAAAAGATCGAAGATGAAGTGAGAGAAAGTCTTTGCGTTGTAAATTGAGCATAAAAAGGAAACAATTCCGAATTACAATGTCTGAATCGGTCGTGGCACAAAGATACACAATTCAACAAATTATCCGTTAAGCGGTGCGTGAAATAACCAAAGACTTAAGGCAAGTTAACACGAAGCAGCCGTGCGTGAGGAATAGAAACCTCGTGACACAAGGCTTTAGTGTCGCGTTTACAACGAAAATACTATGTATTATTTTAACGAAGTTTTATTACCATTAAATAACACTCTTGTTTTCATTTTGAATACTCATTTTCAAAATGGTGTGCTTAGATTATAATACATTATTGAGATTGCAATTGATATTTCAACAATGATGAAATAAATTAGTAGTTCTAAATATGCTGTAATTTTAATCAAACAAATTTATTCCCATAAATTACACTTTAATTTTCAATTTGTATTTTCGTTATCTAGATGATTAGCTTATGTTAGTGAGATAATTACATTATTGAGATTGCAACTGATATTTTAAAAATGATCAGAAAGATTAAGGCATATTTTAGAAGTTCTAGCTATGGTTTAATTTTCAATTTATATTTTCGTTATCAAGATGATGAGCATGGATTAGTTTCAATAATGATCAAATAAATTAAGATATATTTTAGTAGTTCTAAATATGGTTTAATTTTAATCAAATAAATTTATTCCCATAAATTACACTTCAATTTTCAATTAATATTTTCGTTATCAAGATGATGTGCTTAGATTAGTGTGTTTTATAATGTGACTAATATTTCAGCAATAGTCAGACTAGTTCAGATGTAATTTACACCCTTGTGCAAATTAATTGAAACAAGCTTTTTCTTTCGTGTTTTTTTAAAGACGATGTTTTGGGGTTGTTTCGGTTACAATGGGGTTGGACCTTTGCAGCCTATTACCGGTATGATGCGTTCTGAGCAGTGCATTACTATTCTGGGTAAAGAAGTTGTTCCAGAGTTGAAGAAACGATACCCTGATGGAACAGGGATTTTTCAACAGGATTTAGCTCCTTGCCATACGTCCAAAATTGTCAAGAAATTCATGTCTGAGAATCAAATTGAGACATTGGAATGGCCAGGGAACTCTCAGGATATCAACCCAATTAAGAATCTCTGGGCCATATGCAAGAATCGCCTATTAAATATGGACGGTACAACTATGGAGAAGCTAATCACGGCGTTAATTCATGTGTGGTACAAGGACACAAATATTATAAATGACTGTAAAAAATTAGTGGAATCCATGCCGAATCGTGTCCAAATGTTAATAAAGTGTCGTGGAGATCATATTATGTACTAAAAATTTTTGAGTTTGTATAAATTTAAATAAAATAGCATTTTCTCTTAGTTTTCTGAATTTATTGAGTTTGTTTCAATTAATTTGCACAAGGGTGTACAAGTTTGAAATACAAATACGTATGATTTCATCAAATTAATTTCATTATCTTCAAATGACAACTTTATTTTCATTTTGGATTCTTGTTGTGCTTAGATAATAATATAATGCTAACATTGATATTTTAATAATACTGAAACTAATTTAAATGAAGTTCGAAATGAAAATATGATTAGGGGAACAAATATTTTTTCTTATTTCGAGAAAAAAACAACAACAAATACTAACGAAAGATTATGGATTACAATCTCATGGTTCAAAACTCATTTAAATTTAGATTTTAATAGCGTTCAGTAAGAAACTTGATTATTTCATTTAATATTTAATCAATTGACACTAACCAAGTGTTTTTTTAGTTATAGTCGTGAGATAAGTCACTTACTTGATTTTCGATAGATTTTGACATTGCGTCTCAAAAATCTTACAAATTATTTTTCAAATAAAACAATTGATCTTCCAGGAAAGTAATTTTGTATTAATTTATCAGCTGTTTTCATATTTTTTATAGCTATATTAAATATTACTTGCGTCATTACAGCGTTGAAAAGACATTTCAATATATTTTTTGTTGAAAAATAAAATAAGAGTTCAAAAATTATCCCAGGAAAACAATCTCATTGTTTTGATAAATGCGGGAAAGTGTATTGAAGCAAATAAATGCTTCTTTATTTCGTTATTAAATAAATAATTTTGTCACATCAAATGCGTGTTCGCCCGATTGATTGCAAAGCATTTGAACAATGAACGAGAACACTTGAAAGGTGTGTGTTTTCCGTTTTTTAAATGAACCTCAAACTTTGATGTTCGCATACTTTTTTTTTAAAAAAAATCAATCAATTTATTAAAATCATTCAATAAAAAAAACTGGCTTATTTATTATTAAACCGCATTATCTTCCGATTTCGAAATGATGTATGGCATCGAAATTTTACTCGACATGCTTTCATTACATATTCTGGTTTACAAAAATGTGAACCACAAGCATAAAAATTTTCTCTACAGAGTGATATTCATTCTTTCATCTCACTTCATTTTGAAGGAAAAAAAAGACATATTACTTTGATCGGTTATTACATATTTTACTTGCACTATGGGGGCCTGCTAATGTGTTTTTCTTGCTTTTTCCCTCAGGCTTTCTGCGGAGGTTAATGAAGTTAGCTGTTTGTGCATGTTGCCCTTGGTCTTTTTTTAGTCAGTGATATTGATCTGGTCATCGGCCCTCTTAAGTCACGTGGTCACATCCCATTTAATTTGTGCTTGATTCGCTGTCAATAATTATTGTTAATGCTGTCCATCAGCCATAAATAAAGGAAATCAGAAATAAACTCATCATTTTGGATAAAAGCAACTTCCTTCTTTGATTTCCGATTCAATGAATAGATATAATGTGTATTTTTTC